TAAAAATCAGTTAACTTTTATTCATTTTTTTCAGTGGCACTAATCCTCTTCCGTAGCATCCTGTGAGAGGGGCTGTATAAATTAAATTACTTACTACCTTAATGTTTTCTCTTATTGCTAGAATTTACACATGGTGAATGTGAAATCATCCCATAAACCTTCCCAGTGTGTTTCTCTGTGTTTGTTGACAGTAAAGCTGTGAATAAAAGCTGCGCTCCGGCCTCAGGATGGAGGCCTGTCTATGCAAAGCGGACCGTGACACACTGAAGGGTTACGCCTAAAGGATGCTACAGGGCGTAACACAACACTGAGCAGAGTCTGCAGCCGGAATAATAATCCCACATCAAGGATCTACCGGGAGCTCAGCGTTCTGCTGCTTACATGCAAACAGCTTCTCTGTATTATTATTATTATTATTGAACTATATTCATAATGCGCATCTCCAAACACAATCATCTGATGTCAGCGCGCAGCTGCAGCTGAGGCTCCCAGGACTGGGAGAGAGAAATGAAAGCAGGCCCTTTCTATTGTCTAAAAAAAATAATAATATTAAAAGTTTACACACTTTAAAAAATATATATATCAGTGTTTGTCTCGACTTACTGTGAGTCCGGTGCCCAGAACGATCACATCATATTCCTCATCCATGTTGTCTCACCGCCTCTCCCGTCTCGCCCTCTTTTTTTTTTTTTTTTTNAGTCTCCAGACTGATCTGCGAGTGAAACCTTGAAATCTCGCGAGATCAGGATGGTCTCACGAGGCTAGTCTAGGCCTGTCAAATGAGATATTAAAAAAAAACATATTCTATGTATTCACTGAATATTTTCCCTTCCAAAAACTCCCCCATGTAATTTGAGAGCTTCAGATCCCTCAGCGAATTAGTCATGTGACCCTAACATAGCAGGACTCATATATAAACCAATTTTTTTATGTCAACCATCAAAAAAATCTCAACCGTCACTCTTAAATAGTTTTTCTGTTCGTTTTTTTCTATTAAATTTGTTAGAAAAACAATTAAAATCCAAAATTTTGTTTGCCTGAAAACAGTAAAAATTTAGACAGGCCAGTGAGTTAACATTCCATCAGTTTGACTTTTAGCAAATCTCTAGCATCATTCTGATTTGTCAAAACTGCCGTTACAGATATATCTAGGGCTGCACCTCCCAGTTATTTAAGTAATCAGTTAATCAATTATATATTAATTATTCAAATACTAAAAAAAAGATTTTTAGACTTTTAGAACAGAAAGAACAACCTTTATTACATATTTCTAAATTAAGATAGATTTTTACTTGACAAATACTGTCTTTTTATTCACAGTGTGTCTCACAGAATTCCTTTAAAAATCTTTTTTTTTGTGTGTTTAAAGGTAAAGGAATATAAAATCCTACATCTAACCTGATACTGACCATTAGCCATGAGAAACTTGGGGATGAGATCAACGTTCCAGTCCCTTCCTCTGCCCATGGACTCCGGTGGGCTATCAGGTAGACTAAAGCGCTTGTACAGCTGCAGAACACAAAGGATGAAGACTGAGATTAAATATAGCCAGTAACAGCTGCTAAAAACACAATACATAAAATGAAATGTTATACAATGAAGAATATAACTTTTTTTCTGTATATACTGATTTGCTATCCGTCGTACCTCTTCCAGGGGTGTAATGGAAGAGCTCTCCCCACCGTAGTAGGGGTTCCTGTCCATATGCAGAACCTTTTTCCCATTCACGGACATGATCCCGGACAGAATGCACTCCTGCATGAAGCACAACCAACGACCAGCATCAGTAAAAGACACTCAGAGATGATATAACTGGAAATAAACCAAAAAAAAGTATAGAGTGGTGTGTTTAATAGAAAAATCCCCCCCCTTCAGTGTCCACCATATTGGATCAGTCCAATTGCTGCACATGTTCAGAAAGGTCCAAACAGACAGCAGCGCTTTAGTCGCTATATTTAGCCACTTTTCAGACCCCTCTAGCACTTTGATTTCTAAAAAGCTCCTAGCGCCAAATCTAGANTTGGAAATGAAAGGGTGCTGAAGCAGAGGATGGCTTTAAATCCACAGAAAACTAAATAATCTGAGATTAATTCCTCTCTTTTCTCCCTGGTTGCTGCTTTATAGAGCTCCTCAGTGCTATGTGTTATTTATTAATCATTGGGCATTAATGATCAATGGGAAACAGCCCACACTGTCACCGGCGTAGACGACCAAAGATGGCCCTGCACGAAGAACAAACAAGGACAGTGTCGCTCCGCGTCAGGAAATAGTGCGCATCCTCCTCCCTCTCCCTCTCTCTCTCTTGCTGTTTAGAAATGATACGTCAGCGCATCCACCCTGTTGTGAGTGGAGTCTTCCCTTCAAAAAGCAAAACCAGCCTGTTTTCTTACTGGAAAACTGGTAAACTCTGAGAATATATGATGAAATATTTCTGTTGGTCTATAAACCACTGAATGGTTCAGCTTCACAATACTAAGACACATTTATTTTGTCATTTTATATAAAAAAGTGTAAAAAAAAAATGCTATGAAAAACAGTAATGTAAACATGTATAGTTGCATGAATGTATAGTTACAGTTCTAACATTCTGGTTTGTTTGTTTGTTTTTTTATAAATTTAATACATTACAGACTTGTCAATCAACTAGGGGCGGATTTAGGAAATTTGGGGCCCTAGGCAAAGACAGGCAGGGGGCCCTCTGATTTGTAGGTTACTGTTCACCTCTGGATTTTGAAATGCTGTCATGGTTTATAAATCCTGGTTTTGTTTTTTGTTGAAAATTTTTATTTTCTTTTTAATTTTAACTAAATACGTGTTTTTGAATCAATTTGACTGTATGATCTGGTTGAACTGTAAAGTGCCTTGAGATGAATTGTGTTGTGAATTGGCGCTATAAAAATAAACTGAATTGAATTAAATTGTAGGTATGTAGGCAAAGACAGCACATAAAACAGCATGCAGATACAGAAATTTTTGATAGAATAGACAT